TTCCTCTTAAATAAATATTTTTATTGTATTTAAAAACAAAAATTAAAAATGATAAGTAATATTTTCGAAACTTGTTTATAAATTAAATATTATAGATATTATGTAGGTATTTAGTTTATTATGTTGATTTTAATAAAATCTTAGGTACCTATAATGTTTTAAAACAACTTTTGTAATTTGATTAGATCTACAACAATTTCCTAACGAAGGTTTACAATTGAGAAATCCACCGAGTCCAAAACTTGAAGTTTCTGGAACCATGAGTCAACAAAAAACTTCAACTGGTTCTCCAAAGAGCCCTAAGTCCTCTGATGATAATTCAAAATCTGACAGTGCCTCATCAAGCCCGTCAAAATCTGGACGTTCCCCATCTTCAATTAAATCAAGCCCAGGAGGTAATAAATCGCCTAGTCTAGCTGAACGACTTGCTCAATCAAATAAGGCCAAACTTAATCAATCATTGAGGAGTCCTGTGTCTAAATCACCACCAACAAGTCCTACTGCTGCTTTGGGTTAGTAAACAATTAGTTATATGATAAGGTAGAGACTAGAGGTATTTAAACTGTGGATCCCGGAAAAAAAAATTACTTTTCTGAAATTGATATAATATGAATATATGATAATACATTGTTTTTTTCTAAAGAAAACATTCAATTTCAGTTTTATTTCATAATTATTATTAAATTTATTTTCTTGATAAATTTGATATTTTATTTATAATAGTATTTATAATATACATTATTATCAATCATAAAATTTTCTTTATGAGTCTTTAGTAATTCGAAAGTCACTAAAATGTTGCCAACAGCCCAAAGAGGAGCCGTTGGATGAAAAAGTTTGAATACCTCTGGTCTAGCCTGCCTACTGCTTATTGTGTTCAATGAATATACCTATAATAATCATGTTTTTAATTACCTGTAATATATTTGTATGTCTTTTCCTTAAAATTTTATTTGGTTCTGTATTTTACCAGATTCACTTTGAATGTTAAAGTTTTTGTATTTTATATATTTATAGCTTCTCCTAAACCTGAAGTGACCAAAGAATGTAATGACATTAAATCTGAAGGAACCGATAAAAGCAAAGTTTTTAATGGTTCTGTTGATGTGAAAATGGAAAATACTATACTTTCTAATGAACAACATTCTTCTATAGTAGAAAATGGAGTAAGTGACTCTAATGAAGAGGTTAAACAAGATGTAATTGTGGAGTCAAACGAGAAAGAAATAAAAGATACTGATGATATGAACAAATTGAAAGAAGTGGAACAATGTAATTTAAATAATGGCAATCTTGCATTAGATGTAGGCTTAGAAAATAAACCAGTGCGCATTGATGACAGTGTCATATTAGAGCAGACATCAAAGAAAGATATTCGTCAAAAAGTTTGGGAATTTATGGAAGAAAACTCTCTAGTTATATTTCCTAAACCTTGCTTTAACCGTATACCAAATTTCAAAGGATGTAATAACGTTTCATTATTATTAGAAAAGTTGGAAGAATTTAAAAAAGCAAAAACTGTCCAAGTGACTCCTGATAAAGCTCAAGAAACAGCCCGTTTTCTGACACTTAATGTAAGTTTTTACTTTATTTCAAAATAGTTATTATGTGCAGGCAATTTAAATTAACTAACTTTTACTATTAATTTAAAATATATATTTCAAATTGTTACTCAATGTAAAATAATGAAATTGTTTACCTTCATTTTCTAGTGGGGTAAGAGATTATTGGTTCCATTGCTTCGTTTGAAAGAAGGACTCTTGCAAAATGTGTCCTTGCCATTTGCTGAACCATCAGCAAAAATGCTGAGATCAGCTAGTACTCAAAAAGGACTTCGTAAATGGGGAAATAAATTAATAACATTGGATCAAAACAATGATGTTCATATAGATATGATTATTCTGGGATCTGTTGCTGTTGATAAAAAAGGTAATATGCTACTTGGTTTGTTGTAATCTTAATATTAAAAAAAAATGTATATTATTTTTAGGGCGCAGAATTGGTATTGGGAATGGATTTTGTGATTTAGAATTTGTCATCTTAAGTTCTATGAATATGGTGACTGATAATACTGTAGTAGTTACTATTGTACATGATGTACAGGTATGTGATTTTTTATTAATATAATAATACTTAATCTTAGGGGTCACACGTTTCCTAGTATATAGCTTTCTTTAAAGTAGTTCAATGAATTTTACTACCTGCTGACTGGGTTTTTATAGTAAAGGATGCAAAATTTATACTGCCTTGGAACACTACCACCAATGGAGTGCTTACTGCCCCACCCCCCCTAATAAATTTATTTTTATACACTACATATCAAACCTAGTAAAGACATTTTTTTCATTATAGTTAGCTTCGCTTTCCATTATTTATATATTAAAAAAACTTTTATGTAAGAAAATATTTGAATAATTTTTGTTTCAAGTAACATAAATTGTTTTCTTTATTCAAAGGTATTTGACACGCTTCCAACAGACATTTTCAAGCCTTATGATGTACCTGTAGACATTATTATTACATCCAATGAAATTATACGGGTGGAAAATCGTCTTGAACGTCCCAAGGATGTGTTTTGGAATTATATTTCTAAGCGGAGGTTATTGGAAATGCCACCCTTGCAATTATTACGTACTAAACAAGAACAAATTGCTGACTTTGATTGTACTCTCAAAGATGTAGACAGTGAACCTGAAGAAATACCTCCTTCACCGAGAACCTATAAAAAACCTAAAGGGTAAAATTTTATTTATTTTTTTAAGTTAATTATTTTTTAAAATCCTTATTTAAGACCAAGTTTTTTTTTTTTAAACAGATATCGTCAAAAGCGTTACTCAACCCGATCTGAAACTAATGACTCAGTATTTAAAGATAACGTAGTATCAAAACATCGGTCTTCTTCTAAGCATTCATTAGCACCTGCTTCTAAGAATACTGACCTTAAAATCAAACATAAACGTGCTAAATCTACTTCCAGCCAACATCATCGCAGTAGTTCAACTGAAAAACGTAGTAAGCAAAATGATAAAAAAGAACTACGTTCTTCTTCAAAAAAACCTAACAAACGTCGTACTAAATCTGAATCTGCTAAAACTGTAACATCTCCAGTAACAGTAACAGAGTCTAAAAGTTCAAATGGTACACAAGCTGATTCTCCATCCATTGGTACTCCTAAAAATAAACGTAGACCTCGTCCAAAGCAGTCACGCAAACGTATTAATTCAGATGATATTGATAAACAATCCATTAATCAATCTAATAGTAAATATAACTCTCGTAGTAATTCTCGTGCTACTAGACGTGATTATATTGATCGGGAAGATCGTGGTCGTGATGTATCTGTTGTGCGTAAAGTTCAAAGAGATTATTTACCTAGTCCAAAAAAATACTTTTCACAAAATTATCGTCAGAACAGCTATTCTCAAGAAAGGACATCTTATCATGGAAGCAATAGGTCGAATAGCAGAACACATCATTATGACTCAAATAGGTCAGCTGTTATGCAACAAAACAGATATTCAAATGGTCCAACTGTTCGTCCTACTAGATATTTCAATGGCCCTATGGTTCGCCATGATAACTTTAATGGCCCAGATTCACGGCAAAATGGTGGAATTAATCACCATGGTATTCGTCATAACAGTTACTCCAACGATCCATCGTCTCGTCAAAATAGTTTCTATGATGGAGTCATTTCTCGCCGCAATAGCTATTCTAAAGGTTCTGGCCCCCGTCAAGATAATTACACCAGTTCTAGGGTTTTCCGTCCTCCACAATATCGTAATGGAATGGCATCACAAACTGATGAGGTACAGTATACATAAATTTAATTTTTTAATAATAGTTTTATACTCAACATTAAATTTTTTATAAATGTATCAGAGAGATTATGTACAAGAACCAAGACCTCATTTCAACAACAATAACAACAACCACATTGGATACTACAACTCAAATGAAAAACCAAATTATTCGAGATCTTCCAGTGGTGATGAATTTGTACTTAAAGTCGGAAATATTGCAAATAATGTTCGAGTGCGTGACTTGAAGGCTGCTTTAATGGAACGTGGAGTTAAACCACTGTATGTAAAAATAATATGATAATATTTAGTGTCAAGATTTAATATAACATTGTATCATTTTCTAGGCATATTACTTGGAGAGGCCCTAGAGGTTTTGCATATTTACGCTACAGTAATTCTTCTGATCTGGATAAAGATGACGTCATGGGATCATTACAAAATGTGCGTATTAAGCCAAATGGTATTGAAACTGCTCAAACTCAAACACTTATTGTTACTGAATGCCAATTTTCATAACTACAAATTTTGACTTTCCATTGATTCATTTACGTTAAAAAAAAAAAAAACTATTTCATTCTTATTTTAAATCTTTAAACAACTGAAAATCTATTTTGTAAATGGTATAACGATAATTTTAACTTCCATTTTCTCTTTATTTTATTCATTTTTTTTTTTGTGCTTTAATATTTACTAGTTAAAATTGTGTAGAAAGTTTTATCAAAGCATTTTTGATGTTTACCTTTCCTTGAAAAATGTAAGCACTATTGTTTCAAATTTAATATTTAGTTTGATTAATTAGTTTTTGAAATTATATTGTTCTTAACTTCATAAGTATGTTCATATATTTAGAACAACTTGTTTATTTTTATTGTAAAGAATTATTAGGGAACATAACAAAAAAAAACCTAATCTACCATTATTAAACAATAAACTACACTAATTAATATTTTGTGGGTTAAGTTCAATTAATTTGTAAAAACATTGAAAATTCAAGTTTTTAAACTTAATAATGTTTTAGTCTAATAATTAATCTTTGTAATCTGGACAATGTTTAAAATCCATTTACAATTGACATACTGAGAAAGTGTCAAAAATATAACAATCAAATATGTTAAATATATATTTAAGAGTTTATGTCTATTAAAAAATAAAACAATTCAAATAATTTAAATTTTATTTATTTTTTGTTCTATTTTTTCAAAAAAATAACTTTTTTTTTTTATGCCATCTAAATACACCAATACTTAAGATTATCCCAATTACAAAAATCATAAAAATAAGTAATGTAACGCTTAATTTTGAAGTATCTCCATCCATGGACTGACTGTATCGCAGAGATTCCATTAATTCCCAAACATTTTCTTCTGTATGTTTTGTGATAGATATTTTGTCTTGAACATTCATAGTGTGATTGTTCTGGTTTATGATCGTCAACTCTACCTAAAGTGAAGAAAATTATACATTTAAGTTGGGAATTGCATTTGATAATAATTGTATGTATTAAGTATTTATAAAATATGGATCTAGAATAAGGTGTATAATATACAAACACTGGAAATGAGAAATAATAGGTAGTTAAAAATGTTCTCATCACAATTAAAAATATTTTTTATTTTTTTTTTAATTGATCGTAAAGCCGAGCAACTATGGCCATTAGCTGTTTTTGTAGGGTAGGAAATTATAGGTTTAGAAAACAGGTGTGTTTTTGGTTTGTCAGATTTTTTATTTGGCACCCATAGGTATTTGCTTGCCCGGGTGAGGGATGGCGGCGCTTCTCTCCGGACACGGTGACTTGCCCGAAGGAAAGTATTTACCAGCGGCCGAGGTTTTGAAAAGGCGTCGCAACTGACACCATCCCCCCCAATTAAAGATAGTACGGTTGCCCTGCAAACCATTATAAAGTGATCCTGAAAATTTCCTAATCATAACGACTATCAGAGCCAAGCATTGGTGCTCCAAACCATTAGGTATCGACTCATAAATTTTAATAATGTTTTATTATAATTGTTGCCTAGTATTTAATTTATATACTTTGAGTGCTAGTGTAAATGTCTACAGTGCCGTTGATTATAAAGGTCTTCTAGTTAGTTGGGCAACCATATTATTGGTTCTCATTGTAAATTACACACTCAAAATGGTATTTTTTTTACTGATTTACTTGGTAAAAAATTATGTAACTTAATAGTTTTTAATCTAAGTTACGAATAATATAAATTACTAAACTATTTTTTACTGTATTTAGCTTTTTTTTAATAGCTTTTTCTTATATAATATGTGCATAATTAATATTCTCTTATTAGGATGGATATTGATTAATGGATATCATAAACTTGATGTGATTATTAACTATGTGTGTAATAACAGTTCTAATTTATTTTATTTTACATACAAGTTTGAAACTGCACCAGTCCAAATTGAAACCATTAGCTCGAAAATATCTTTCAACACTAGTTCTTTTGAAATCCTTTGGACATTTATTCATTTTTTGCAATGGACTAATTTCTTTCTCGAGATCATATAATATTGTTGAAAAATTTGATGAGCTTCCTAAATTGACAATAACACTGGACATATACATTATTCAAGTGATTATTAAAAAAATTGAACATATAAGTTGTATATCATTATAAATAAGCAGTATATTACCTACCCCTCTGTATCATTTGGGTCTAGTGGTAAACGTTGTCCTAAATCACTAGCAGATGCTAGAAATGTAACATACAAATTTGGTTTACTACCCAACCATAAATTTTGTCTAAATATATCCAGCAAGTATTGTATGCGTTCTTCATGAAACATGTCTTCCACATTCAAGTTATTAATTTTAAATCTTACTTCATTAGTTGCATATTCTGCGAAAGAATTGTATATTTATGTAATTTTAATATTAACTCTTATGAGTTATAAAAAACTAAAATAACAACATTTCTTTACAGAATTTATGATTAATATTTACCAGATTTTTCAAAAATGTTTAATTGCATAACTCGTGTCTCAACCTGGTATGTTTTTTTGTTTAGTCCAATAATATCCAACTGAAAAATGGAATATGAATTACCTGTTGTTAATGTGGGTTTACATTAGAGCTGAACACGAACGAATTTGTAGGTTGAATATTACCAGATCGCATTTAGAGCGACCGCGAACGAATACTTTCGTTCATGTTTCGCAAGACCGTTTATATTGGTTTGTTCGTGATCGGACTCTAGTGTAAACCCAGTTTTACTATGAAGAAGTACAGAGTTAATTTGAGGATAAGTGTCGAAAGAAATAAATAATTGTGAGAAATGATTCATGACTAAAAATATATGGAGACACGGTTCTTATGGTGATTCCTGGCAAACTATGTTTTTAATTTAATTTGTATAACCTGAAAAATTGATTGTTTACTATTTCACTCATTGAAACTACAAAATATGGTCATTAGAAACTATTCATTCAGTATTGGTAACAATATATACAGTTTATAATACACGATTAATATCATTAAAAATCAGTCTATAAATATCAAAACGGTTTTGATATTTTTAACATAACCAATACGCGATTGTTGGTCAATAACATTGTCAATATCGAATATTGACCGTGTATGGGCCGCTTAATGAGTAGGTATACACTAAACATTTTTAAAAAAACGCTAAAAATGCTGAAAATTAAAAATATAGCAGATTGCCATTTAAATATCAAAAGTTTATGATGGTTTCTGTAACAAGGATGGGGTGAAAAAAAAATATTGAAAATATTAAATATTAAAATTGTGTGCATCTCGAATTATGCACGTTCCTGGTTCCTCCACTAAAATAATCACTGTATGTGTTCCGATTTACAAATATTTCTATACTAGTAGTGAAAATATAAATTTTATTTCTTACTAGGATTTGTCTGTCCAACGAGTCCGCAGGCGGTGTTCCGTACAAGTATCCGTGTCTATTTTTACTGTTGAATTTGTAATGTATCCAATGCAGCAAGTCTGGGTAATTTTGTAAGGACGGCGTGAACACAAACCCGGTATCCGCTCCTAGACAGTGTTTGAAAATTAAGTGTAAAACCGTCTGAAAGAGCTGAGTCTGGCCGGTACCTATTTCAAACTATTTGAATCAAATACCAAAATACCGTTCGTCCAGTTAAAGAGTTCCGGGCGGATTTCGTAGTAAAACATTTCCGTTTCTCGCACATCTCTCGTAATAATCGCCGTCGGCTCGACGTGTCCCAGTGCAGCGAAAATGCACACGGTATTGACGAAAACCGTAGCTGTGAAATGCATCGTCGTGCTAAACCTATATAATATGGAACGTTGAACAATAACAACACAATAACCACACAATAACCACACAATAAACGACGCCTGAAACTTACTCGGACGTTGAGCGCGCCGGCGTGTACGATTAGTCACCTACCTCGGACGGCGTTCACCGATCGGCTGATTCTCAAAATATTATAAATATTCCGACAAATCTCTCGCCACACGCTCTTTGCGGTTGTTAAGTGTCGTCACACATTTAAATGTTTCGCGTTCGTGAGTCTACCGTGATTTATCGTCGCAGAAAACCACCGTGTACCTGTAGAGAATACGAAAATCGGTTAAACGAGGCGCACCACCACAGACGTGTCAGGTCTGCGGCTGTTGTTTGATCAGCCGGTCGGAGTGCGTACTGCAGGGGACCGGCGGCACTCGTGAGTTTCCGCCAAATATTTGTTTAGCCCGTGGCCGTATTCCAAATCGTCGTTTTTCGACATATTTTTTACAATCGAGTTCCACAAATACACGTACATCGTCGGGATATTGTTGTTATTATAGGTATATATCAGCTGTACACGCACGCGCACGGTAGCCCGCTGGCAGGCGCGTCGTCGCCGTAATAATACGCGCGTGTCGGGAGACACATTGACGTCAGCGTGAGTGGGCGTGTCGTTTAATATGCACCTTATCAATAATAGTAATAATAAATAATAATACTATTAAAATAATAATAATAATACGTCTGCACATAATATTATAAATTATAATAGTAATAATGATATTATTATTATTATTATTATTATGATGTAGACTCACTCTGCTTTTCAAGTGTTTTAACGGCGTGCGCGGGCGTGTGTGTTGCGAATACAATCGCTACTATAATGGGTACATATTATTATGGTAGCGATATTATACGACCCCGCGCGAGCATGTGCACCGGACGCAGAGTCGTTTTTCCGGTCAAACGCAGTCGCTCCGTCGTCGGAAACGGTCTTCCGGTACTCGATTGATCGCCAAGCTGACGTGCCGTAGTCATATAAATCGTGATTATCAGTTTCTCATCCATTCCAGTCGAACATGGCTTGCGAATCTTCCACTCGCGTTCTGTTGGTCACGGCGAACATCGGGTCGATATTCGAAAATGTGAGTACCTGTGTACATCCCTACCCATTGTTATTGTTATCCTCTCAAAAGTAACACAAAATATGTTATCTAAAAATCGCACTGAAGACTCTCTCCCACAGCTGCTGCTCTCCTCAAATATTTTGATTAACTGGTTTTTGGAATAGCATCAAGTAACTATACCTATGCCATCTACCTATAGGTACATTCTAAAATAGCTGAAACATACATACAGTTATGAGCATACATTTATTATTTGAGTAGGAGCAAACAGAAAAAGTATTCATTATTGGTCTTGACTTGGTTTGTTATTAATATAAAATTCCCACAACCTACTTTATACACCACTGACTGTGAAGTTTTCCGTCTTTAGTTATTTTCTCACACTGATTTGGTTAAGAGTTGGAATTGTAGTATTATATTTTAACTATATTTGTTTATATTGATGTAATAATTATATTATAGTGTGTCAATTAATTTACAGAAAATATAAGATATTATCTACAACATTATTTAATGCTAAATCAGATCAAACAAATTACATTTTCATGAGTAAATAAAATTATGTCTTTATATTAATAAATACATATTAATCATAAACTCATGTTAAAAAACTATTACTATTACAATTTACAAATGACTTATGACTAACACTTTACATCTGATGATTCTAAAATAATGTACCCAACTAAAAAAGTTGATAATTACAATATTAAACTGTTATCACATTGGATTGTTATCAATTTTGATAACAACCTGAATTAGATTTCTCTTGCTTAAATAATTTATATTTATATTATTATTATGTATTTTAATTTTTTATACTTACAAATTGTCAAAATATTAGAGTAATATTGTTAGCATAGTAAAATTGTTATTTTAAGTACTAAATATAAACACTTACATTTTACTTTATATTAAAGTACCTACCTATATAATAATATACCTAATACATATTTTAGTTGAGCGTTATACACGGTGTATACTGATGGTTATGTTGGCTGTTGCACAATTTAATATAAACTCAAAGTCTACTTTTGAATGTGTAAATAAAATAACAAATATTAATAAATTTAATAAAGTATTTTTTGATGTATGATATACCTAGGTATATCAAATGTTATATATATTTATATTTTATTATATTAATTATTAATACACCAATTTGTGTATATAATAATGTGCAGATAATAATTTTACTTTTTATACTGTGCATTATGAATAATTAAATTTAAAAATAAATAAATTGAAATTGCTATATTTAAAATATTCAAAATAATGTTTAGACCAAGACTTTAATTTACCTCCCATTAGTCCCATTAGCTTTGCAATTCATTCCCTACATAGGTGATAGGTACATGTATATATTTTTATATCCAGTTTCAAGTATGTTGGTCTAATTGCAATAGCTTTATTATAGTACAATACAATAAAGCCCGGGCACTATCCCACTATGCTGTTGGATAGCTATACCATTGAAGTCCACAATTAATTATATCTCGTTAACCTAGTCAACATTTTTAATTAGTTTTACTACTAATTACTCCATAACATGGTAATCTACTATACTAGAGAGATTTTAAGGATGATTTCAAGTTATCAACAAAACCATGTTCTAAGGTTAGGTACTTACTTAAATGTGAGATAATTTTGTTTTATTTTAATATATAATAAGTTGGTTGAACTAGTAGAAGAATACATTGACAAACAATAATAACAAATATTGTTTTCTTTTTAAATAAACTTTGCTTTTTCATTAGATTAATAAAGATTCTACCTAATTATTAGTTTAATTCCCATAATTGAATATTTCATTATAATTATTGCTATACAAAAATAGAGATTAAAATACTCGCTGAAGATAAAACAAAGCTTAAATCGAGGCTTAAGTAGTGGATAGAGTGCAACTTAATTTGCCTTACGTTAAATATTAAAGGTTTACGTCAAAATATACTTTAAATTAATGTATAATGATTATAATCTGCTATTATTATTTTGGTATTTTTTATACTGTATAGTGTATTTATTATTTAACAATAATATACTTTATAATCAATAATAATAAAAAAAAATTAGGTTAAATTATAATCGAATAGAATGGGCTAATTATCAATAAATTATATTTTTTTAAACACGCAAAAATAATGTTAGTTTTACTTTTTACTACACCTGTTTTGATTTGTTTTGCGTACTTTTATAAAATTATATTTTAATTTCGTGAACTACTGTTTTTGTACTGTGTGGAATAAGGATTAATTATTAATCTATGGTGCGAGTACCTAAATTTAAATGCTTAACACCAAGTGAAATTAATCGTTGTATTAATAAATATAATCTAATATTAATTAATTTCGCATTGTAAATTTCTTAAAAAGAGTTTAATATCAAATTATCTTTGGATTATTAATTATTATTAATGTCTAGAATCATTTTGTACTTTTGTACGTAAAAAAAAAACATTGGAATTAATAAAATATACTATATAGTATAGTACATTTTATGATAGTGCTCTGAGAATATTTTATATTACGATTATTGGCTATATAAATATATATTATAATTTATAAGGCTATAGGATTTACGCGACACCCGCACGCTTTTTCTCCATCTCACAAACGCATAAAATAGCAAATTGTACGCTCTGAATAATTCATTTAACTCTGTTATGTTTTTTATAGAGTGAAAAACCTACTATCGAATTTAGAAATAAAGATATTATCTAGTGAATATCTAATGTTTATTTTTATATTATAATTTTAAAGCAAGTTTCGTAACAAGTTTTCATAACAGAATTTTAAACTGTAAAAATAATTTACTATTTTAATAGGTATGAACACTAATTTTAAAATTAAAATACAAACAAAAACCTACGATATTCATTAGATAATATTCGTACTTCTAAATTGTATTATAGGTAAATTCATTCTAATATTAAATATAACAGAGTGCACTTGTGCACTACGCAGTTTATGCCTTAAAAATTAATAATAACAATAAAAAAAAGGTGGGCAAGTGGGTGTCGCTCTGCTGTACAGTAGGTTACAAGTGGGTCACTGTATAATGGATGGTATTAAATTTGAATTCAATGATATAATATCATTGTATAAGAAAAACGATTCTGAGCGGTGACGGTATGTCAGTCTAAGTATAAGACATATTATATACATATCTATGGTATTAAACAAAAAATTGACCTATAATAGGTACCTATAATAAATTCCATATAATCATATCACAATATCCATTAGATACTTATAACGCGTTGTACATCAACAAAAACCGTGATACTATCATAGATATATAATAGTACACTTTAGAAGTTTCAAGTACCCACGAATAATATTATTCAACCACAACAAAATAACTAAAATAGTTATTCTAGGTTTTTTAATATGTAATTTCGTCCAAATTTGAATTTAAAATGTCTGTAAAAAATAAGTGTGTTCATATATTTTTTAGATTTTTTGGTTATAGTATGAACTATTTATGAGAACCTTTGTGTTGAATTTGTAATCCTTAGCTATAAAAACTGAACATTTTATAATTTATTAATTACAATGATTGATAATTTTCGAGATTTTGATTAATTTTGTCAACATTTGATCTTTAAATGCTTATAAAAAAAACTGTGCCTATGTATTTTTAATATTTTTCAACTGATATTGTAACAATATATCAGGAGCCTTGTATTAAATTTTTACACTTTTTGGCCCAATAGATAAAACTTTATTGATATTTATAGAAAAAAAAACTAAAAAAATTGAAAGCTGTAAATGTCCATAAACAGCTCAAAAAGAGTCAAAATATTTTCAAAATTGTATGGTGTATAGAAAATGCTAATTTAAACATTTAGTGAAATTTTCATAAATCTACAGTTGTTCGTTTTTGAATTGCAACAAAAT